ATGTATTAACACGGCTGTCGTAACTAGTAACACTCCATGAACTCAAACCTAACCTTTCCAGTACACACATGTCGACCGCGGAGCGCGAGGCTTACCTTGTCGACCGAAGCGTAACGAAAGCCTATGTTCAAGACTAATGCAAAATGTGGTGTGTATATGCGTGGCTAACCACCAGCAAATGCACGCATGCACGATGGTACCTGTCACCAAATGCACAGCACGGTTGCCGTATATACTCACGCCACATATAACTCGTAGTGTCTGTACGTCGGTCACCGTCAGGAAATGCTAACATGCACGGTGATATTTGCACCCGGATGCCCACCTATGCACGGTAACCGTATATAATGGCCGGTGGTAATCTCCCCGATATCAAAAGATTACTGTGTTTGCTTTTTGGTAACAATGGCAACATAGCGCTACCGAATGTTCGTGGGGGCATTATTACCTGTCACAAGCGATGGGCTTCATCACCAGTATTGGAATCGTTAGCCGATAGCGACAGTATCAATTTACCGGTTTCCGTTAAACATCTTTGATTCAATATTCTAGTTTGGTGTTGCAGACACAGTCCAGTACCATAATACTGTTCCCTGAAACTCTTTTCTTGACACCCACTCTGGACTTCTGACATTGTACAACATAACAAAAACTAAGTAACGAAATAATACTAGAAAAACCCCAAATTGTGCAATTTCCGGCAAATATGTCCCCACAGACATTTTTGCAGTGCCCCATTAGCGAACCAAACAACCCTGTGCGATAAAAAAATCAAAACGAATTAATATCCCGGTTATTAACAAGTATCTTCTAGAAAATTGCCTAATCGGAATAGCACTCCGTTAGCATTACTAAGGGCAATTTCGTGTAAATGGTAGCCCTCCGGCCAGGTCGGTATCACCAGATTTTTGACATAATAGACGTATACGGGAACGCTGCTTTTCAGTTCAGTTTTTAGTTTTCTATAAAACGTCACCAGCGTTACTAAATCCAACCCCTCCTACCGCATTCAGCAGATTTACTGTGCCATTGACTGCTTTGCATATTATGTGCATATTGTGGCGGTGACCTTCCACAGCACTGTATGAACCGGCATAAATTTTTCCACTAGAGTTGAAGAAATTATGATTTTTGTGTACAGTGTCGAAACATGTATTCGAAACACTTACGTAATTTTATGTAAATGCTTAGCGGCGCCAGAGGCCGAGATTTCACTATTGTCATTGTACTAAAATTATACCAGCTGGGATGAGAGCATTAAATAATCGAAAAAGAGTGCCCACTGTAAAACGGGGTATCATCATTTAGGATATAGTCCTGCTCCGCTTCGATCCTGCAGTGCGCGCAAAAAGTGAGTGCACTGTTCTAGTATGTAGTACACAATACTAAATACTTATTTTGTACATTTTTTATTTTTGCGGTATAGATTTACGAGCTGTACACTCTTCCCGCTGCGCAAGACCGACCTCGCGCAAAAATTGCACAATAAGGTCACAAAAGAACAGCAACAGATATGGTATTGGAGAATAAAAGCACTGACCTATTTTTACCGCGTGTGTGTCACTATTCCTGAAGCAGATGGTTGGTTTGCAAACAAAAGAGTACACTTTTGAGAAACATTTGAAGGAACTATGATGCAATACTGTTTTATTTTACCTTTACTCATATTCTACGTTTTAATTAGCACGCAGATCAGATCGTGCATATCCGGAATAAAGATCCGTACAAACCACTATTTAAATCTCACTGTCCCCTAACAACCGCATTAATCATTTTATAATTTTCAAATTGTAACAGAATGCCGCACGGTCGCGTAGCGAAAAAAACTAGGGGTAGAGTCCTCTCCCGCTCCAGGCGAGCCGGTGCAATACTGCCGGTTGGCCGTATTCACCAGGCTATGATTCAGGGTAGCCAAACTGAAGAATCCGCATCTGTATTCATGGCCGGGGTTCTAGAGTATTTGGTTGCCGAACTCCTGTTCCTTGCTGGAAACGTGGCAGAAGTTGCACGTGCCACCGACATCAAGCCGGGTCACATTGATCAAGCCATTCGTGACGATCCGGAGGTAGGTTTTGTAAATACATATGCTACTTGCTTATTACGGTCGCATAAATATTATCATTACACCCTTATTAAAAATTATCATTAAATATTATAAATATAATATTATAAAATTTATAATAATAATATTTAATATTATCATACTCCCTTATTAAATATTACAAATATTATCATACACCCTTATTAAATCCGGCAATTATTATTATCTACAGTTACTGCAAGTCATGCTGGTATGCGATAACGCAAAAGCTATCTAAAATATTTATAACGCACATATCTGTATAGACCTGTTTGTTGATATTACTTATATGAAATCATAATAATACTTTCTTCTTCGCAGTTTACAACGCTCTTGTGGGGTGTGCTCCTGGGATGGTGCGATCGCCATAACCGCCGCTAATAGATTTTGCTCGAGATGTCGTACTGTGTGCTGATGTGCTAATAAAAACTTGTTTTCCTTATGAATTTTTGAAATGATAACAATATTAAAAAACTAAACTTGCTTTAGCTAGTTGAGTGGAATCTATATTCAGTGGAATGTGAATGTTATCCCGTACTTCTGTTTTGGAATAAAATAATTTTCAGGTGTCTCCCACACCTGACAGTCTCGTAGTCATCAGGACCACATCATAATAACTGAACGCGTTACCAAGCCTGTTACAATAAACTGCTTTTGACAGCAAAAAAATCCTGCCGACTTTACAGTAAGCAGTAATATTTTCAGTCACTGACATTAAAATTCGGGCAATACTGTATCTGCACAGTTATCAATGAGAATCAATGAGAACTTAAGTGAGTGTATCAATGAGAAGTTGTGCACAATCTATCAATGAGAACTTAAGTCGAAATACAGTTGGCTACCATACAACACAAACCGCATCGAAATAGTCAGTAGTAGGTACCTATTTTTACCGTATAGTGTAGAATAACGACGTAGTTGTCCGAAAATCCAGTTCAATAAGATCAAGAAAAAAACCCCTTGGGTGCCGTATCCTTAGCTTTTCCAGCATCAGTTATCAGTTTCCAGGGTGGTACAGCAACCGTGTTCTCCCTCACAATGTAACGTACCAGGATCGAATACGCTTTATTAGTCTGTCCACTAGCCATGTAAAACCGACGTCCCACAAAATACAGTATGAGTACATTGCTAAGAGGTGTACGTCCATTTGGACCCCGCCAAACAATCTCGTGAGGCCCCAGGGCTTAACTTTTATAATAATTATTAGAATGATAGCCAGTATGAGTATGATAGAATGGGTATGATAGCCTGCTCATTACACAAAAAATTGTAAACATACGGTGAACTACAGCAATAAACAGATTACTGTACATACAAAATGCATACACAGTACGTACACAGTATAACTATACGAGTACATACATAAATTAAACAGACAAAGCTACTGTGTAGAAAATTTATATACAGTAGTCATTATCGTTGCACAAAGTGGTTCTCGTGCAAGCAGTTCTTAGGGCGTCAGTTTACCGATCTGATCATCGCCACGCCTTATCGCACCTGTGATACACTGTGGAGAGACAAAAGGGGAGTGTAAACATTCCGATTTTACAGCCACTGAGTGCCCATCTCCGCACATAGACACTATTGGGTAGAAAATACGGTGGCCAGCACCGCCTTTTCATCTCTCGCAGTGTATCACAGGTGTGATAAGGCGGAGTAAGGTAACAAAACGGGCGTCCAGCATTAACTGATTGTTATAACTATGTGTATGGCGCGTCGGGAGACATTCCATGAAAAAGTAGGTCACCGGACAGCGTCATGCTGAATTAGGTCGGCATATGAATAGGCAGTCCATCTCAAGGAATGTCTCCCGGCGCGCCATGCACAACTTCACTCGAAATCCAACAGCCGACGTCTGGATACTTAGTGTGAACAACACCACTGCACTAACATCATTATAATTTACTTAAACTAAACTACTTTATGGTAACATTAATCATAGTTAAATACAGAATACTATTGCGATAGTTATTATTATTGTTTAAGAATTTAAGTTAATAACGTAATTTACTGTTAGGATTATGATTATAACCATATAGCTAACTAAATAAAAACATAAGTTTGTTGTTGTAATGGGTTTAACGTTGTTGTAATTATAGCCGTAATTATTGTTGTGTTCCAGATGTTATTGTTTATTGTAGCTACGCCGAATTATTGATGTTTAGAGTGTTTGTAAATAAATAATATGTCTGTTATTCATAAACAAGATGTTAATGTTTGTCCGGTGACCATTTCAACGCTTCTTTTCTTCTGGGGATTATACTCAATCATCTAACTTTCTCATCGAGTTCACATAGGTACTCGTAATTCCGACTGTTAATGTACACTGTAAACATTGATGTGCATCCAATTTCATGCTTGCTACGTATCTGTAGATAGAAGTATGTACAAATAGAATTAAAACAGGTGCAATATCGTCCGGAAAGAAGGACATCGAGTATCGTCAATACTCGCGAATTAATGCATAGAATATTACTACAGAGTAATACCTCTGTATGTGCAGCGGTTTCAGCACTGTGACATGTTGGATATTGGGAGCAGTCAAGCGTGCGCACGCTGCACTACGTAAGTAATTTTAATTGCAGCCAGCCTGCTGTAGGTTAACAGTGGACACCATAATTTTTGATATACTTTTAATTTGGCAAAAGCCACCAACATCACGAAAGAAGTCTTTACGGCCGCACTAATAAAAAGGATTTTATTTCATAGTTTTCATTTCAGAGTTCACAGTTTATATTTCAAGTTTTTATTTCACAGTTCTAATTTTAGCTCAAAGCAGTTGAAAGCACATCGTACTAAGTCTTGTTAGCAAGCTCTACGTCGGGCGTATACGCACTGACGAGAGACCTTAAAGCGCAACAGTAGTTGCCATTTATTACAAGGAACATCAGTAGTAACTACTGAAATCTCTTCGATTTAGATTTTGTGACCGCTGCCAGTGGGGATGTCTTACTATGTGACACACAGCAAAATATCGAAAGCTCTCCCAGAAGCCATTGGGGATATATTGCATCACCTAATCATGCCAAGTCATATCCAGCTGAGCATATGCAATGCATGTTCAAGTTTTTACCGAAGGCAGACGAGCAAATTCAGCTAATATTTACTTACTTTAACCTTCGAGAATCCGACAAATTTCCAGCGTGAGTAGTATTTTCCATCTAGAGTAGAATTAGATATTGCGTGGGGTAAACATTTCATTTAAGTTAGATAGGAACATTGACACAAAGTGTCAAAGACGTACTTTTTCACTAGGTCACAAGGTCATGTGACACCGAACCATTTTCGTCGTCGATAGAAACTGTGGAAGCATTTTTTTAATTTTGTAAAATACAAAACTGATAGGTGATATTAAAATGAATTGTTTTACGTGTAGAGATACCAGAGGGTTTCAATTTCATTTGCTTGTAACATAATTCTAGCCTTGCGCTCATCCATGCTGCCAACTATGCCACAAATAAACAATTTAATTAATTAGCGGTTGCACTTATAACTTGTAACAGCCTCGAGCTCGTTATCTTGTATGCTGAAGATGCAGTACAATGCAATGAATCGATCAAAAGAAACACATGTAGTTTTCTCCGGTCACGTTTTTTGCTGATGTGAGCACTAAGCCACTAACTCATCATGAAACACATAACAGGATATTAAACTATACACTTACATTTACCGGTAAGACATCTACAACTGCAATTTCGGTTCACCTTAGGTTGATTAACAGGAACTGGGTTGCTATAATATATGTAGAGTACAGTATATGCAAATGAAGTTTAGAACGGGACAGTTTCAAATGGCTACTTTTCTGTAAATTTTTGTTTTTCTGTAAATCTAAATAACCTGGGTCCTGACGTATTCAGTTGTTACCTAGAGCGCTAAACTGTGATTTGTCGGATTCTGTCAAAATTTTCGTGGGTACCAGCAGTCCCAACGCCTCCGAGCCCGGAAATCTGATTGGAGAATACTGTGGTCGCAGCAAGATTCCCGAGGTTATTATGGCCGTTGGACCAAGACCTTTGACCGTCTTGTTCACCACGCGAGCAAAGGATAGTCCGATGCGCTCACTGTACATGTTTAAAGCCAAATACGAATTCCGTAAGGATTATGGATTAGGCAAGATGGCGGCACAGCACAACCGCACAGCAGGTATAGGTCCTTGCTCACGTTGCCAGTACATGTTATAAAAATATGCTGGGCGATCGGATTCATAAAGTCACTAGTCAGCACCCGGACATGTTTTGGAATTATCTGGCTATTTCTGCAAACTTGTGCGCAGTATAGCCATTTAATACTAAAATCGTGATACAGCTGAAACCAGAATTGTGAAACTTCTTAGGGTGTCATTTCGTGTATGATGGAAGAAAAGTGCCGGCCACAGGGACACTTCAAAGGTACTTGATTCGTAGTTTTTGACCATTTTGGATTCAAATTTCTTGCTATTTCTACATTCCGGGCTGGCTGCTTTACTGTAAAATTTTTGGTTTTGTTTATCACATGTTGATGCTTACAGTCCAAACTTTGGAGGATATTATCCTCTTTCCACCAACTGCATTTATACATTCAGATTATTCAATAATCAAAGCCTTCAACTGCGGTTTCACACGTTTAAAGTGGTGGGACAACAAGAGTAAGTCGTAATGCTACACAGACAAAAACTAAAAATTACACATAAGATTAATCTGCTGTAAAAAGCAACATTACGAAAATTTTGTATACTATTTTTTGCACAATAGGGAATATATCTGACTCTGACATGTTCGTTGTCGTTTTACAGCAGAATAAACTTATGATTTGCTACCTGTCGATTCATGTTGCGTTATGCAACTGGCCGTGTTCAGGATTCCGTTTTATATTTGCAGTTGTCGAGGAGAAGATGACGATACTTTGCAAATTAAAGTGGGCGAAGACCGATATGATTGGACTGAGTTTCTTGCTCCGGCCGAAAATGATCCGGCAAAACGACAGCCCACTAGCAACCTATACTGCGGCTACAAATTCCCGCCCCAGTTCATTTTTGCGAACAATGTTGTTCACGTAATTTTTAAATCAGGACCGTGGCGTACGAATCTCGGTTTCCTCGGGACTAACACATTCTTAGGGCATCCAGGAATTTGGCTCTCGGTTTCTACAGTGGAACCTCCTACTGTGAACACCACCGAACGCCGAACGCTGAGCACCTTTGAATCTTGAACAAATTTTTGCGTCCCGACGTTTTCGTAATGTATGTATAACAGTGGCGGGGACCTCTGAACCCGGAACACATCTGCATCGTGAACACTGTATTATGTACCACAGTATGTTTTCTGAGTAAAGCGTACCACCAAGGCACCAACCACGCAAAACCTCTGGGAAGGACAAGCGTTCACGCTGTTTCTCGTATAACGTGCAATAATCATTCATTATTTTTAATACTGATTAAAATATTGATTCGAAGACAAGTTATGGCAAAATTAATGCAGCTTTGTACGGTGCTGCAATCGGCATTGTTTCGAGCATTGCTTCAAAAAGAAAAGAGATCGGGGAGCAGCGCGATGCCAGCTTGACCGTATGTCGGAAACGATACAAGCAGGCCGAATGTGGTGAAGGATCTCATTGAGTATGAGTCCTGAGTCACTTATACTGACTACTGACGTCAGTATCGGCTCTGCCGAACACGAACATGCGTTCATTCGTTAGCCTGTTTGGCAGATGTGTGTAAGCGTAATATGCGGTGCATGTGATAAGTGTACTCGTAATGTAAGGGCGTTGTCAAACTGTTTGGAGAAGGCAACAACATTTACTATATTTACCTTCAAAAACAATAACTTGACAGCACAAGCTGCATACAACTGAAATAGACAATCACCCGTGACCATAGCAAAAATCAATGTGGATGTATTCGATGCAGTATTTCTTCCGAATTCTTAAATACGAACACACAATTACATCATAGTCGTCTTTCTTAATTATTTGGCCCCGTTACCCTGAGACTGAGATCGCACAGAATTCCGTACTGACGATATTAAAACGATGCTCTTCAAGGATCTCAACTCGAAATTGCTTATTCAGCGCTTCGACGGTACTAATCTGTTCAGGTGGAAAAATATGAAAGGTCACGAATCAGCTATGATTACGATTCTCAGAATTAAGAAGCACCAGACCAACGTGCTGCCAGACCCTCGATTTAATCCATTAGAACGTTCCGTACAAACGAAAGGACGAAATAAAGTTTGAAAACAGAATGGACACCTTTCGATAAATGTGCGCAGTCATGCTACGCTTTTATACACCTGACCGGAACAGATAGCCACAACCTGGTGAACCGCTTCGAGCCGCTTTAACACTGTTTGGCTGGGAACTCCGTTCTTTGCATGCCCTCAGTGCCATGCTTTTAAATGCGAAACCTGCACAAAAACGAAATAAGCGTTCGGTAAGTAATTTTTTTACCATTTCTACTGCCATTGCTAATTACAGTATATGCAAATACTAACGTATGGCTTACCAGTTGAGGATCCACCGGATCCTTGCATAAGTAATAATTTCTGACGAAGACATTAAGGTTGGTAAGGTCAACAGCGGTGCAAGGAAATGTTGAGTCTTGTGGTATACACGATGTAATATTCGGGTTTAAAAATTTTCTGTAAACGAAATTGCTTAATATTTACAATTTTTCAGCATTATTAACTATACTTTATAAACCAACCACTGCATAATGGTAATGTTTTTCTAAAAGCTAGAAATTGCAGTTAGAAAATTACTAACCGACACACTTCCTCGTTTCCAAATACAGAAGTAGAATTTTCTAGAGACGTGACTTGTGCCACACCCACTGAGTGGTCCAAACAAGGAATGATCTGTTTGGGTGGCGCAGTGTCTTTGGGATAGCATTTCTTAGCGGACAATACGATTTCTGGAAAATATGTAGTAACAGGCACGTGTTCCAACAAGGTGTGCAGGTACAGTTTCTGCACTAACCCGATGTTTCTTCTTAAGTACTTCATTAACAATTAAGCCTTCTTCTACCCGGTAGGTAGAATACAATCTTTAGCGGTGTGTTATGTGACTACTAACTAGAACTGTGGAAGTACAAGTACCTAACAACAGAGTGTTGTCGCTGCTGGCATTTGTATAAAGGCTGGTTAGTCTTTTAACGGCTGAAAGAAATCACGAGTTTTTTAGTTCCGCCTGACGAAGTTAATATTCCATTTGTTAACCTGTATAAATGGGTTCTTCCTGGCCAGACGGTTGGCTAAGACATTCTGGAATCTGCAAGTATTTGTTAAGGTTTACCCAAAGTTCAAACCCTGATCAAAACCAAAAACATTCGAACATTCTTGAATGAGCCGAGTACATGTGCTTGCGACTTACGTTAGCGTAACTAAACATTTCGCAGACATGCGTATCGCCTTTACGGACCCTTTCGCGCCACTGCTCAGACAGTGCACCAGCAAACCATGGCCGTTCAGTCGTGCTCTGAGCACCACTTCTAGTTTGGGTTGAATTGTTCCCAGACGATTCCGCTGCAAGGCCATATAATTTTGGTATACCAAAATTGCAAGTCCGCAGATTGTACGCAGGATCGATTTGATAAACATTGGTCGTTGCGGGTAATGTGCCGTACGGTTCAACAGTGTTGTTTAGAAACAGGTAGAAAAACCTGTAATGTTAAAAACTGTTGTCATCAATCACAATCGTGAACAACAGAACAAGAATGTGCTCAAGGCATATGTTTTCCAGATAATTACAGCGTCGGCAACACAGGCGAAGGAAATTACTGTGTTTCGATTGCATACTCAGCTTTGTCCGCAATCGCTTCCCCAGAGATATTATCACTAGCTAGGAATGTCAATGCCATATTCGGCAATTCCGTAAAAGGAAGCTCCATATTCCATCGCGCGAGCGTGCAAAGATCCGTCGGCTTGCTGGCTTGTGGTGCTGCGGTTGTTTCACCGGCTATAACCGGCGGTTGACTGAGACATTCTGGAATCTGCAAATATTTGTTAACGTTTACCAAGGCCAATCCTCACAACCAAAAACATTCTTGAACGAGCGCGAGTAGACGTGCTTGCAACTTACGTTAGCGTAACTGAAAATTTTGCAGACATTTGTATCGCCTTTACGGACCATTTCGAGCCACTGCTCAAACAGTGCACCAGCAAACAATGGCCGTTCGGTAGGAATGCTATTAGCACTGCTTCCGGTGTTGGTTGAACTGCTCGACACCGCTGCAGTGCCATTTAATTTCGGGATATTAAAATTACTAGTTCGCAGCGTCCCTGCTGTCATCGTTTGATAACGATAGCGATAGGGAACGTACAAGTCATAATACCATGGTGGTCGCGGTCCATAGTATCCACATCCGCATGAATAACAGCAGCCGTTGCGCGAGTACAGGCTACGGGCCACCATATTGCCCAGCAGATAACCACCAACCATACCACCAGCATCGGACAACAATAAACTCCCGGTTCCAAAACCACCAGGGAAAAAATCTCCAGCGATAGAGTTGTTGATGACGGTAGTGTTTGTGTTGTACACCGGTTGGACAATGGTGCCGTGCGAGGGAATGGGCGCATTGGCAGCCGGTCGATTGGCAGCGCTCCGGGTAACGGAATTTCCGGCGGCTTTATAATTAGGTTGCGATGAATCCGCTGGGGCGGAGCTACCCCATCGTCTCGATCCTGCTTCTGCGCCCGAAGCATTCGCCCCGGCGCTGCTAACGCGACCCCAACCACCACGCGATCTTCCTGATAATACTGGCTCGATTAACTGGACAAGGATGATCACGCATAAGAGGATGGAAACTAAAGTGTGCAAACAAAACGATAAAACGTTTTGGTTTTCGGTGTAAGTGAATGAGTGTAGTTGTCGTTAGAAATATTTTCTTGAGATTAGTAATAATGTTTTTGCTGTACGCTTGAAGAATATGACGTCATTACCGATACTTACACTGTACAATGCACATAGACAGCGCGAATTGTTCTGTTACAAAAAATACAAAGTATTCATGCTTAATATGCAAATGACATAACGCACTGGAGATGTACACAGCATCAATAAAATAATTATAATACTGGTTTTCTTCAACTCGTTATAGTAGTCAGTGATTAACATAAACTGATAAGCATAACATGAAAGCAGCAAAGACCATGAACACGAAAACATGTCCAAATATTCTGAACATAACAACCATTCACATAAAAGTAACTGCGTGCCTCGTTATGTTCAAATAAACAATTACTTTAAGACTTACCGAATGAAGACCAGAAATATCTCATTATGGACCTTATCGTTGATGTGTTGGATTCAGATAGTCGTCAGTCTTCCAAAACGAACAAGATTAGGTTAAAGATACAGCATCACGCCGCTGAGCATGGCCAACACCGTACTACCAAAATCTTAAGATACCTCATCAAACGAACGAATGAGAATTGTGATTCAATGAAGGGCCAGGATCTGTATACGAGTAGTAAGTACTCACAATTCAATCGTCAGTTATTAAGTTGCGACACGTGTAATACTGCAACCGACGTAAAAACCATGAACGCGCTTAGCGAGTTTTTCATGGCAAAAAAGTAAACAAACCCGTCAGCCTGAGTACTTCGCGCGCGATATTGCTGCCGCTAAAATTAATAATGATCACTTACACCTCATTGCGGTTTAATTTTCCATCGGGGTATGCGCGCCGCCTTGAATTACGATTTGCCAAGTCTGAAGTGGCGGTACAATAATAACAATATATCTACAATATGAGAGTATTCGCCACGAAAGAGACAACGACTTGGTACTTTGCTTTCAAGAAAACAGGTTGGCCCGAAAAGAGACGCTTGTAAGTTGCACACACACGTTACTTTCCGGGCATGTATCTTGCGGTATCCATCCAGTATCCCTTATGTATCTTCCATGTATCCTTACAATCTTGCAGCCCTGTTTTTGTTTCACTACGGTATGCCACTGCATTCGTACAGTACCCTTTATGTATCCGACATGTACAGTTGTACACTACTAAGAAAACTAGCTGACAGTTATGATATCATGGCTTCTTTTTCATTATGCTGAACACTTTATTAATTTCGACTACAGAAAACAAACCAATAAGCATAAAAATAAGAGCTAACACAGACGGGCCAACAGTAAATGTTAATGTCACAACAGAAAGAGCTCATTAAACTTTTCCACTCCCTCCATTGTTCCCATTACTGAAGCCGCATTTCCACGCAGAATCTCCCAGGACAGCCGCTGCCGGAGAAATTCGTGTGAGCGAATCTCCCCGGTGTGATTACGCAAACCCTTTCCGAGCTCCTTGATAATGGCAGTGGCCGGTGGTATCATGGCTGGCTAAGTTACTTTGTGCAAAAGGTTTGGCATTTATGGCACACTTTATTAAGTAGCAGAAAACAATGCCCATCACGAGCTTCCTGTGGAAAGCGCAGCGCTGAAGACGACGTTCAACTGGTTAAGAAAAGTTTTCTCGGGGCGCCATGATCATGGGTATAATATTATTTCTACAGTAGCACTGACATCGCCAAAGTTGAGGGCAATATTTTCTATTTATTTATGTTAATTTTCGGATTTTATTATCTTCACAGTGATCACTTCCCGCTGGTGATCCGGCTGCTGGGCCGCGCCGACGCCTGCAGCTGCACGTCGGGAATGACCGGCGTGCTGGTGCGGTACCCGTTAGCTGAAGGGCTGCGGCCCTGCACGTATCCCATTCTCCGCCCCGGCGGCCATCAGGACGTTCAGCGCGCCACCGGGCGGCAGTCCGTGGGGGGTGACGTCGGTCTTGCTGTCCTGACTGTCACCCGGGTGCGGCTCCAGCGCCGACACGTGCGCCCCGCCCCGAGAGCGGGTGCGTCGGGGCCTCGGCGGCGGAAACCGGGGGTCGCGCAGGAGGGCGCCCACCAGGGCGGCGGCGTCGTGGAAGTCGGGGTGGCGCGTGTTGACGTAGGCCAGCTCGGGGCCCAGTGCCCACCAGCTGTCAAGGAGGCGTGGTTTGGCCGATAGCGTTAGCGATTGGAGTATTGGACTGCATTTTTGTTACTGTGACAGTGCAATTCTCTTTAAATGATATGTAAATTCGTTCACATTTGCTCATTCAGAAAAATTATTCTGTAATAGGTAAAATCTTAGAATTATGGCTGCATAAAAAAATTAAAATCAAGTAAATGCACACGTTTCGAGATTCCTAATAAAAACGATAATGCGGGCGCCGCCTCGGTAGGGCAGTCAGCTGCAACGCGAATTAATTTCCAGTTTTTGACAAACCGTGATTCGTGAATTCCTTGATCAGTATTTGATTTTTTTTTAATTTTTGATCTTTTCGTTTGTAAATCTGCACTACCATTCCCACCCCGCGGTTTTTATAACCCCTGTTTTATAACAGTACGGGAATTTTCTGTGTAGTACTCATCCGGTCTTGCAATACGACAGAAACCTTGGTTACACGAATTTATCGGTTAAGCCTGACGTTGTTCGCAGCGCCACCCGCCCGGCGATGGAGACGCAAACCCCCGTGATCACCTCCATGATTCCAAGTTCCAACAGCCTGCTCCCGCCTCCCTCTCCGCCTACGACGCCGGCTCGGATCGGCGGGTGACCGGGCCCCATCTGGAGACCCTCTGGGAGGCTCCTACCAACAGTCCTGGGGTTGGGCCTCCTGCAATCCTCCCAGGACCCCGTGCGGAATCCATCGCCATCTTTACGACTCCATCCCCAAACCCACCATTATTGGTGCTGACCCTGGAGCCCATCGACACCGTCCAGGATTTGACACGGGAGCATGTGCCGCTGTTGCGGCATATGATCCAGCGGGCGCAGTGATTTGCGGATGAGCAGATTTGACCGAAAACGCACTATCCGCTGGTGCTGGAGTTAAATACGATTCCGACGCTCATCCGGCTGCATATGCACGTTATTACCGTGGATTTTCAGGGGCCAGGTTAGTCCGCTTCTTGTCGAATTGAATATTAATTTTTAGGGATTTTGCTGGCCTAATTAATTCTGTCATTTCTCTTCTGATTTCTTAAATTTAAATAGTTAAATTTGATTTTTGTAGTAATTTTTCGTTGATTTATTTAATTAATTTTGATTTTTTTGCTTTGCCTTTGCTTTTTCTAATTTTTCGTTGATCTGTTCGATTTTGCTCCGGAATAATTTTCTGTTTGTAGTTTTTGCCAGATTAAAAATTAAAAATTATTAGAAATCGTTTTTGCCAGTTGCCTCAATTAAAATTGAAAATTATTATTTATTTCACACGTAATTTTTTCCGCATAGTTATATAACTTATATTTTCTGTATTTTTTTCTAGGCGCGGTGGGGCCGGCGGACTATCGCTCTTTCAGCCACAGCGCGCTGTTCATGGAGCCGTAACGGGCTATCGGCCCTTTGTAGGCGGAAGGGCAGATCGTGGTTGACAAGGAGCAGCCCAAACTGGTGAAGACGGATTTCACCGAGCCGCTCTGTGCGTCTTCTACCGGCAGCCTTTTCCGGCTAACAAGATGGCCGAACTGAAGAAACATCTCGCCGCCCGCGAGGCCGACCTGCACGCCGCCGAGACGGAGGATGAGGATGCCGGTTATGTCTGACAATTCCAGGTCAATTAAATTCATTTACAATTCTTAGCCGAATCATGAATTTTGTGATGGATACAGTGAGCGCCGATATTGGGATAGTTAATTTAAATTGATTATTTAGTATTGTAAAATAATTCTTTTTACGTTAGTTGTTGTGACAGTTTATTTTTATTTGCTATGGATTAAATTATTGGTGTTATTGTAAGAAACGAGAACCACGGTTGGAATCGTCGAGGAATTCTTGAAAATTCGTTACAAAAAATTTTCGATAAAATGGTGGTTTCTTGTTTTATTGGGATGTTTATCAGACTGTTAGAATTAAAAGGACGCAATCTTCCCGGCGTTCACTGGCGGACTGCAACTTGACTTGGAAGACTAACATATATTATGGAACTAAAACAGAATATAGCAACATAATAATATAGCAAAATATAAATCAAATTAATTGGTGTAGAATGAGTGAAGTTGTGACAGTAGGATGGAAACAAACAATAAAGTCACCTTAAAAAATTTTGTGCAGAATAAACAAATTAAATGTCGAATAAATCATAATAATAATTGATGAATAAAAAAAAATTGAATGAATAAAATCACCAAAAAACGATCCATGTAATATAAATTTTAAAAAAAGTATAGAATAAAAAATTAATCATACTACTCGTAGTCGCCTGCATAGCGCGGCTGAGTCGTGAGACGTGCAAGCACTGTCAGGACGTGCAAGCACTCTCAGCACGTGCCGTGCTGCACTTCTGACGGCTCTACGAGAAGTTACCATAGAGGCTGTGCAGCACGTAACGTGCTGCATTTCTCCTAATATCAGCCGCTACCATACTACCACTCCGCGGGACGGTACCACGGCTCTGCCGTGGCACCGTAACAAGCGTGCCTATATACAGCCGGGCTTATTAGCGCCAGCACTGGTAGCGGCTGATATATGCACACTTGTACGGTATCACGGCTCTGCCGTGCCACCGTAACAAGCGTGCCTATATACAGCCGGGCTTATTAGCGCCAGCACTGGTAGCGGCTGATATATG